GCAAAGATGCCTGAAGAGTATTGTCCGCCCCTCAGCAGCATTATTTCTCAACCCTCCAGAGTTTTCAATTGTTAAGTCTTCGGTAGATCTCCATTTTGGAGCGCTCTGGATGTGGGACAAAGTGGCGCGAGTCCTTCTCCAGGACCGTAAGCTTTCGCCACCCGCCATTCCGCTAAACTGCTCTAGGACCATTTACTTGAAATATTATAATCTTCTGGTCCTTGCCTGCAACGTCTGTGTGCTTGCAGCTGAGGTTCCCAACATTACGAAGCGCTTCTGGTCAGGTGCGTCAGCCCGAAGCCCTTTTCGGCTGTGCAAAAGAACGGGCTTACAGCTTACGTTTTCTGGGGGCTTGAACTGCGCTGGATGCAGGAATACCTCCCCCTGTAGAAGTAGGTGACATCGTCAGAGTGCTGGAGACAGGTTCCACCATTGTGCAGCGTGGCGAGTACCAAGTCGTTGGTGTACAAGGAGATGAATACATCGTGGAGAAGGACGGGGAGAGAACAAACGTTCCGCGAGACCGTCTGCTCCTCACAATAAAAGAAAGTAGGATTTGCCCTTCTGGGTCACCCATCGTTAAGCATGTATTATCGATGGGAGCGGCTGAATTCTGATGCCAAGCTGTACTCCCTCCATGCCTGTCTTACAGAATACAGATTAATAACTGACAAAGTGTTAAGAAACGAGCTCAGAAATTTGAGTGATGAGGATCCTAGTCTTTTGGAAGATATGGAGGAGATATTCGAGTTGGCCGGGGTCAGAGACGCCTTCCAGAAAACTTTAGAGACAGGCGACCCTCGTTATTTGCAGGCTGCCATGAAAACCTCCGACTATTTTCATTGTAAGCCCTTCATCGCACAGCATGTAGAGTTTATTAATCTCCAGTTTACTCCTCTAGATGCTGCTTTGTCTCCTGCGTCCCCTCAACTGTTTTAGTTGTGTGGTTTGTAGAAGCCATGAGACAACTGCCTGGCATCAAAGCGAGCCCGCTTCAGGAGCCCGGAAAGGAACGGCGTAAGCCGGATCCAGCGGAGATGAGCAATATATACACCTCAGACTCCGCAGTAAAAGGTGAGCTGATCAATACTGCACAGTTTCTGCACTTCACTCGGAAATACTGGTTGTGCGCTCTGAGCCATACCTACATCCATGTAGCGTGTGCCATTTGCTATGCAGCCTTTGAAATACTTCAGTTAATTCGAGGCTACACTGCCCTGGAGGGCTGCAGGCCCCTAACACACAAGAATCTATACGGCACCGGTAGCGAGCTCGTCTGGCGAGTCATCGAGAATGCTATGTTTGAAGCTGTTGAGATACAAGGCGAAGACACATTGCACTCAGTCCTTGAAAACCAATGCAGATCTGCCGCGGCATTCGTCTTTCCGGGGACAGTCAGTCCCTCTCATCTTGTTATTCCACAGTGTGTGAACGTATGGGAGAGGATGAGAAGCGACTGGTCGCAGCTGGGTATGTTCGGGCCTGACCCCACAGGCACGCCGTTCAGCTCGCAGTTGCAGTTGGTACGGCGCTTCGTCTCAGCTTTTCGACGAGGCCCAGCAGCCAAAAGCATTCTGGAGGTTTTATTGTTCCAACAAAAACGAGTATACCATTTTTCGTGTCATTGTGCTCAGTTTTGTCCTCGGATATTGCGAACGACCGCGAGGCTCTTGCAAATGACTGCGTTTCGAAACAAGGCAAGCAACTCACAGCTACATCATGTAGCAGACAACACCCTCTTATTTTCTTATATATTTTCCAGGTGTTTATTTCACTATTTCCAGGTGCAATTTCCGCTTCTGTGCTTACAACAGGACAGTTGGCACCTGGGTACTTGGGCGAATGCGACGCACGTTGCATGAGTGGTGTCATGAAAAGAAACTTCTGGTTCGACTCGCGGCTTATAAAAAGAAAATCTATTGCAAAGGATTACATCCTTGCAGGAGATGGTATTTATGCAGCACCTGGCAAATCGTGCAAGCACATTGACGGGGGAATTCTTTTCGTATATTCGTAGTCAACTGTCTTAGTTGTCGCACATGTTTTTCACGTTTTTCATATGCTTGTTGTTACCTTTTCGGGTGGTCATGTTTCCAGTTGCTCATTCGTATGTCTTCGTTTTGCAGTTGCTCGCTTGTCAAACTTTTCGGCTGCTGATGCNTTTCCAGTTGCTCATTCGTATGTCTTCGTTTTGCAGTTGCTCGCTTGTCAAACTTTTCGGCTGCTGATGCACTCCCCTACTTAGACCTATTGGGGGGACAGGTGTGGCGACTAGCTCGCATTGTCAGCTCAGAAGCAATCCCCAGAGACCTTGGAGAAGAGGCAGAAGAGCTTTCGTGTGTGGCGGACTTCTTAACAAAGGACGCCGTGGAGCCCGTACAAGGAGCCCACAGGATGACCGGACTCGGGCTACCACACCTCCAACTGTTGGCGCTGAGTGTGGCAACGGATCTCCGGCACCATGCAAGCATCGCAGGAGCTAACTTGCAGAACAGCAAAAAATTGCGCAAGCTAGCCAAGGGATCCACGGCTTTTTCTGCTTTCTTTAGGCTACTTTCTTGTCATGTTGCAGATGACACTGAAGCGCTTTGCAAGATCTTCGGACCTTTCGCCTCGCTGGCTATTCGCATAGGTGCGTCTGCGCTGCAGCTAGTGGATGCATTAACCTAAAATGATGTATGTGTANGCTGGCTATTCGCATAGGTGCGTCTGCGCTGCAGCTAGTGGATGCATTAACCTAAAATGATGTATGTGTACCCGTGCGAATTAAGCTAGCCAGGGCATTTTGAAGCTGGGACTAGCGCCTGGAAGCGGGCTGTTGATCAGTCTTCTAAGTGTTCGTGCAATTTTTTATTTCTTCAGCTTTATTCCTGCGAGTTGAAGTTGAAGAACACGCAAACAAGGGATGGAAGGAGGCCGTATCCGTTTTTTCCGGCAGGCTATTTGAACGAAAACTGTATAAAAAGGCTGTGCAGCAAATGACCGCAAATGCTAGGAAATTCATTGAAAGGTTCATGGGAGGCTTTGGTCACAAAACAACAGGAAAGATCGAAAAGGTCAAGAAAAGGATCCGACGTATTTTTAAAAGGAGATCCAGAGAAAAAGTTTCAGAGAATACAGTGCACCACAAGGTTGGCCATGACTTCGCCAAGCTTATCCTCGCCATGTGGGCGAATGGCAGCCAGCACCATATAGACCTTCCGCCCAGCAAAGTTGAGGAAGCTTTCCGCCGGGCTAGACAGTACCAGACACTTACGATCTTTAACCATGGTAGGGCGACCTCGCAGGTGCTGTGGCCGAGAGCTGAGCTGTTTAACATAAAAATTATAGCAGAGACTTTCTGCAAGTAGCCTTGCAGGTCCATGCCATGTCTGACTGCGTTATCGTAGGTATGGACCCGATGACAACGATAACGAAGGATATCAAGGCTGGTTGTAAAGATACCAGCGTGGTGAGGCATAAGTACTGGTCTTTACTCGACAAAGACAAAACGAAAATATCCAAAATTGCAGATGAACTAGGGCTAGGCCTAGTCTACGGATTTGCCACCGGCAAGACGTATTCCCAGCTTTCAGAATCTGGTCGCGAACTAGCTGATGCTTGCAAGGGAAAATCGAAATTGGACTTGCTTTCTCAAGGAACAAAGTACCGTGGAATGATGGAGCTCCACCAATGCATGAAGCTTCGAGGTAGGATCTTTAGCCAGATACCGTTAGATCCAGTTTCCCTGCTTGACGACGAGGAAAATCCAGACTGAAGTGACGGCTGCTACTGAATGCGCAGGTCTAGGAGTGAGGTTTCTACGGGTCGCACTAAAGAATGTGAAAACTCCAACAGCAGATGTTACAGGAATTCTTTTCAGCTTTCTTAAGAAAATCCTGGCAATCCGTAAAGAGGACGCAAAGGGTCTGTACAAAGCTTACCTCCAATGGGTAAAAGAAGGTGAAACCTCAAAACAAATAAATAAGTGGAACGATAGCATCGAGGCTTTTGAGTGCTCGTGGCACTCGTCACAGGAGGAGCAAAACCACATGCTGGCTGAGGCTGGCAAACTAAAGGAACGGGACGCCACAGCTGAAGATCCTGCCTCTCTTGAACTCCAATCTTGTCGCGGTAAGCTTGCCTAAGGCTTATTTACCTGAATCTCGACTACCACGCAAGCAAATCCTCTAGGGTTCGTGTTGCACTCTAAGCACTGTGTCGTACACTGTGTTGACTGGATTCGCAGCGAACGCCAATGACGTACTGGATTTGCAACAGACCCAGGCAGACGTCCTTCCTGGAGATGTAATCTTCTCTACCCTGCTGTAACGCATTTGTTATATTGCCAGTTGGGAATGTTCTTTTTTTCAACGCATTTGCTAAAATGCGAGTTGGGAATGTTGTTTTTTACAAATGCCATTGCTACCATGCCCAGC